TGGCAAACTCTCGCTCTGATTGGTCGGGGTTTTTCGTTAATATCTCGGTAACGAAGCCTCAGATTACATTGTTGCTAAGGAAAAACTTGTTCCAATTCACCCCCCGAGTGCCCTATTTCCGGGTCGGACAACATTTTTGTTACACTCTGTATACGTATTGAGCCTTGCTGAAAGTTATTCGAAGTTCGAAGCCTTCGAATAAATTAACGAATAAAGACACAGATAGAGAAATTACCGTCTGAATAGTCTGGTGGCAGGACTTTCAGGAATGGTGCGCCTCGAGAACCCCAAACAGGATGTCTGACGTTATTGCAAACCCCGGAAGGCGTTCTGTACTTGCTCGGCGGACAGGGTCTGTCCGGTTTGATTCTGCAGGGAGCATCGCCGACCTCAGGCCTATTCTGAAACCTGAACGGAGAAAGGATTAACATAAAATACTTTTCCATGGCTGACAGCTTTCCACTTGAAACGATCCAACTGGTACAAGTATTTTTGTTTTTAACAATACCAAAAACATAAGATAAGGCAGAAATGGGCCGGTCGCTCTCGAACCGCGACTGAAGATCTTGTTTAAGTTTATTCCGTTTGTCCTTTCACCATTCCTCTTTTCTCTTCATTTCGCGTCACAGTCCCTATTTTATCTAATATTCTCGATCCCCATAGACCTTGATTAAATTCATTTCGTTAAACATTTCACTGTTAGCCATGTAGAGCAGCTTGCACGGATGTTCATGCGCAGAGTTCTTAAGGCCGCGGCAATGGTATATACATACTGTATAGTTACTGGTAATGGTCAAACATGGAACCTTTCTCGTGACTGAAATGCCGGCGCGGAGGGACGCGACACGACTCTGCCGGCACTTTTTTTCGGCCATGAAAGTAAAACTTGGCCGCGCGGACATGCGAGAAAAGGAAGGAAAATGGAGCAGGAAGGACGTCAGGATTGCCGGCTTGTTAGCATGCGAATGGAAACCTTTGTTAAACACTCTTTCTTATTCTCTGCTGGCTCACTTATCGTACAACTGTCGATTTCACCTAAAGATCCCTATTTTTCAAACCTATTTTTTTATTTTAGAATTGTGCAAATTAAATTTGTAGCGTAAGAGTTCTTCGAATGAGAATTTCTTTTCTAGAAAATTCTCTTTTCAACATTGGTCTGGTATCCAGTATGTTTATCCAGTATGTACACCGGCGAGCAAACTCGGTTTCCGCTAGGGGAAAATGTGGCGTAAGAGAACGGCCTCCTACCACTTAGTAAATTTATTTCAAGTACTGAAATAAATGTTAAATCGAATGTTAATTTGGCATAAATTGCAATAATTCCCGATACCAAATTTTAGGAGGCCCTTTTCCAACGCCACTTTTTCCCCTAGCGGAAGCCGAGTTTGCTCGTCGGTGTACCTGTTATTTTCACTTATGATAATCGTTTAAGCGGCTAATTGTACAAAAGCTAAGGAATTCTTAACTGTCATGTTAGTTATATACATATACGGTGCATTCCACGAGAAATCGAACACTTTTTGGAGTAATATTTCGGATTTTGTTGACACTCGGATACGTTGTAGTCTTTAGTAATATACATACACATGAACGTATCTCAAAGGATTTGACAAATTGTTGATTCTACAGTTGCTTGAAATATAGTGTCAACCTTTTTTCAAAAACTCAGCACTGTTAAACTAACAAACTGATCAAAATGAGCTTTATGGATGCTTATAGTGGAGACACAAACTAACTTGTGGTTCCAGCAAAAAATTCAACTAAAATGACGTAATTGGTAATTTTAGATTTTTGCTAGTGTTCTATAAAGGAATATCAAGAAACTACAGTTTCAAAGAGTCTTATTTATTTGTAGATTTACATGCCTGTTAGACTTTAGTTCACTTCCGGAATAGTAAGAAATGACAATTTCAATTATTTTATTCAATTACTAATTTTTATCCATGAAAAGAAACTTACCTAGCTTTCGTTTGATACGTGAACCTCTCAGCTTCAATTCCTGCGCGAGCTCTTGCCTGTAGATCATGATCCACACCATAGAGGTAATCTGCAATGCGTAACAATTCCGAACTTCAGAGTCAGCGTGAAAAAATAAACAGTTGGGGAGAGTGGGGTAATTGCGAACACCTAAGCAAAAAAACAAACAGAACGAAAGCTGAGTGAGAAACGAATTTGTTTATTACGTATAATCATACTTAAATTATTCATCTACAAACTACAATACCCAATTTTAGAAAAATTATTATTAAATCAACTTTTCAGTCAAAAAACGGAACCCTTAGTGTTCGTGATAAAGTCACTAGTGATCATGAACACCAAGGCTTCCGGTTTTTTGGCTGAGAAGTTGATTTTTATAATGTCATCAGTGATACCAACTAGATAACTTATCAAGAACAAAGTGCTACTAAAAACTAATTATCACAAAAGTCGCATAGAAAGTCTCTGGTTGTGCTTTCATTACTGCTGCGTTTTTCATTTGTCCATAAGCTTCATCCAGTTTCTTCGCCAATACCCCACGACGTCAAAAAATAAAAAAAAATTAATTTATATTATAATAGACAACACGTTGGTCACAACATATTGTTTAACATTTGCTTACTTTAATTTTAATAAATCCGAAATTGTATCATAAATGCAATACTAACTACATGCAATTGCAAATGGACAAAATGTTACTTGACAAACGATGAAAATAATAAATTTTGTTTATTTTGAACAGTGTGCGCGGCCTCTGTTTATTATTTTCTTCCCAAGACTGGATGCGAGCTAAACTGTCAGCTAGTAACCATTGCGTTCGTGTTTACCCCATTCTACCCTACCGATCGTTACGGATTGTTTCTGTCCGTGTCGGTGTTTATATCTGTTGGTATAAATACGGTTCCAATAATACAACAGGTTTCTGCAGATTATTCGTTTTCCTTATTGTGATACAAGTACTGCCGAGAATGCCCTCTTCCCGGTTCATGCATTTTTTATTCATCAAACAAAACTTTGTATGCGGCAACGAGGGGTGGATATTTTCAACAATAACTGTAACACAATAAAGGAAATGAATAATCTGTAGAAATCTGTTTTTCATGTAGAATCACCCCTTCTCCGGGTGTACCATACTTTCCTACATGCCCTGTATACATTAAATCGGATGATTATGAGAGTGAAGTTATGGGTAAAACAGTATTATACAGGGTGTCTCAGGTCGGGTAGTACAACCGGACAGGAGATGATTTTATAAGAAAAAATAAGTGGAAAATGTGGAATAAAATTGTTTCTTTTGAGGCTTTATTTCGAGAAAATCGACTTTGGAAGTTAATCTGAAACGCGTGTATTCGTCATGGTGGTAAGTAGAAACGGAATACAATGAACAGACGCACTAGCCAAACCAAGTTCTATTCTGTTGCCCGTGTATCCAACAAATGTTCAAATTCGATTAATTCGAGAAAATTTTATTATCTTCTTTCACTCATTTTTTCTTATAAAATCACCTACCTTGATCTATATTAAATCATTTATATCTAATCTTAACCTATGTGTTCTTACTTCATTAGAACACCTAATGTCGTTTTGTAGGAAAGCGTTGTGTGATACATATAATTAGAGAAAAATTATTTACATTATTATTTTACAAACGTACCTAGCTGATGTAATAATTCACATCGCACTATCCAGATCCTTGCTGCTTATTTATTCACGGCATATTACAGCCTGTCATTATATACAAACAAAAATTTGATTCACAACATAAAACTGTCCGCATTAGAGCGGGTAGGCCAGGTAGTTAGATATAACTACGAATGACCTTATCTTAAATTAAATTTTATTCGTATCAGTCATATTAAAAAGGAATGATCATGGTAACAAGGAATTTTATAAAAGGGTATTCATTCTTTTTGGAGTCAAGAGCAGAACTTTTGTGCTTCCTTTAAAAAAAAAACTATAAGACATTTCGATCTATATGTTTATTCACAAATCCATATACATATGTTTAAGAAAGATTCTATAACTTTTATATTAAAAAATATTCAATGTGTTCTGATAAGCACGACTTTATCAAGACCGATGGTTCAAATAAGAAAAACATCGTTCTGTGCTTTCAATTTGCAGTTCCTACATATTATTATTGATATGCTTACCTGAAATGTCGAACTGGTCGTTCGTCGTTGTGATCGCCAGTGCTACGAGAACCACGATAGACAGCAAAGCCAGGCTGTGCCTGAAACAAAAAGCATCAAATGCAATCAGTGCGATCATTTAATTTCTGATAATTGCACCGGTCGGGCAATATTGTGAACAGAATTCACCGGATGTAGATTAAAAAGTTAGCAATATTAAATTGTAGGAACATAAGAAAAGGAGGAAAGAACTTTGGATTTTCGGCCGGTCAGAGTTCGCGTTTTAACTATCTGACAGTGACCTACGGTGAGAGAATACTTTTTGCCAGCTTTTCAAGCGAAATACTCTACGATGCGGCGGTGTGCAGGGGGTATAAGACAGGAGAGTGAACAAAATTCAAGTATCGGTGGTTATCGGATTGCGATGAAATTCCTTTCGTGGCTTTCGAAAGCGTAAGAAAGTCAGCGGTCAGAAAGAGGAACCTGTTTAATAAGGACTCGTTATTCTTCTTGGAACGCCAGTGCGTGTCCTCCGGCTCATTCGTTTGTATGGAAATTTTCAAGCGCGTGGGGAAATATGGTAGAAGATACGCCTCTGAACATTGTTAAATCTTTTAACATGGTATTTCGAATTCAATTTACCGTGTTTGGTCCGATATAAGCCGCTTCCTCGATCCCGCGACACTCGGCTGATCTACGGACTAGTTAGAACTATAATTACGGATTAGTTAGAACTGTAACAAAGGTTCACGGTGGAAGTGTGTTGAGCTTGCCACTTTTCTTTTATAACTCCACTTATAAATGTCCTGCTTCCGAAATTAATGTGTAGTGGAAAGATTAGTTTTTTTTTTTGACAAGGTCCAACGATTTTGTTTCTCGTAATTGGTGCGTTGAAATCAGTCTTGTTGGAACGCAAGAAAAAGGGGGACTGGACACGCGGAACTCCGATCCACGATATCTCCGGATTCTTCGATTTGCCAACCTCGTATTGCCTCAACGCCTCAACCATCACAAACACAACATGACGTCCTCTCAGTCTTCCTACATTCTTCACCCGGTTTAACGAGTATGGGGCTTCCGATCTCGCATTATTTGAATTTTATAGCCTTGAGATTTATCCAACCACGGACATGATATACCTCTGTCGGTCATTTTACTATTATTAGGTGTATTCAGAAATATTGGCCGAAACATTTTTAAGTTGGTATGTATACAGTTTCATTTTATCTTATCATCTGACGATACAACTGTAGTTAGAGAAATGGTAAAATATAATAGATACAGCAAATGAGAGAAACTATGTATTTCGAGTATCAGCTGCGAAAGAAACTGTTAAATATTAATAAAGATTTTTTATGAAATAAGAGCCATTACGTTTGTATACAACTAATACTACACATATTAGAATATTTGTTTCACAGTGAATAAGAGTTAGATATAAAACTACATAAATATAAAAATTGGACGAGCACTCACATATGACAGAACGAAAGAAATAATTGTGAGGTATGCACCAGCAGTTGCAAGAAATTCATAATGTTATTTTATTATTACAGTAACGTAAAATCTCAGAGATCGAGACAGTGAAAGATAACGGTGACGCTACTTCATTTCTACAAATTGAAGGGAAATCCACAAAAATTGTGGGAGAACGATCATGGAACGATGTTTTCCAGGTACAATATGTATAGGTACATAAGGAACGCGATCGCTGGGATTAATGATAGGACCGAGGCCTGTTCAGATACTATCGATAGCGTACCTATTAAATTGATACCTACTCATGTGTCAATCTTGTCGCAGATATGTTTTAGATCGATTTGAAATTTATCAAAGCAACCAACTTCCCTTTCGACGTGTATCCGTGACCACAGAGCTTGATTCATATTTAATTTCAATTCACATCCAATATCAGAAAAGAAAACAGAAGAGAAAAAAAAATACAGCAAATATGTACAACTGTAGCCCGTTAATATTTTCAATAAAATTTAACATTTTACAAATCTATCATTATAGTACAATATTTTTAAATTGTACAATCAAATGTCTTTTACATTTGTCACACTTTATTCGTTAATTGCGGTATTTCCCGATTTACTTTTTGAACAATACACACGATTAATTTTGATAATACATTTGAAGTTGCAAAATTAAATTATACCGAGACAAACATTGCCATTAATATAATACTTTGCAGAGTGTCAGTACACGTTTGAAGTAAACACTGTAGGTATACTCGTGTACTGCATCGTGAAATGTATAACAGTGCAGCCTAACTTGTATCTTGTTGCTGTTTTCATTATTACTTTCTAGTACTACTTGTGCTAACGAGAATCTATGTGGAGATCAATTTGGTGTGAAAACATGACGATTGGGTATTAGTATTTAGGACCATGCGCCATTGGTGTGGTCCTATTACTAGCTAGGATGATCTCGAGCCTTGAGGATAGTTGACCACCGCTAGGAACCAAGTATACTGTATATGCGCGCGGCATCGTTTTCTCGCTCGAGCTACGTGGATAATTCAGTGTCAGTGGGTCAACGGAAACCGGAGAAATCTTTCTCCGCGACATAGCACGTGTCTTTCCCTCGTGGACCTGAAATTTCATGGCCCATCGGCGCACCTTCTGCCCCGAAATGTCAGCGCCAAGGGAGGACGGATCCATCAGTGACAGGCAGGTTCTATCAACTATCTAGACTCTAGACTCTCGGTGGATACACGCATTCTTCTTCCTTTTTTTCTTTTTGCAAACGATCTCGTTCGACTCAACGTTGCTGTTACTTTCACGAGATCCCGAGAGGAGCCCAAGTGATCGTGCCTCCGTTGACCGGTCGTCGATCTTAGGCGTTTTGTTTGCCATAGAAAGGAGATGTTTCTTTTTAGAAAAGGCAAGCGAGGTAGATATAGCTAGTTTCTCGAATAATTTCTTTCTAACCATCTTTTATTATATTCGACATCCTCTGGACATGGAGAAATGAAATACCTGATACTACTGGGGATTCAGTCGTCTTCAATCTCTTTTCTTTCATTTATTTTATTATAATTGGACGAGATAAATTTTACCAATTGAATTTAGATTTCTCATGATACATGGTGTAAGTTACTTATCCATTTATTTTACTTTTTTCTGTTGTTTATTCATCATAGGTCCTTTCTCTTTCATCTATAGTCATTTCAGTGTCGATGTTTGGTATTTCGACTCTTACAGTTTCTTCTGTATCCATATTAAAACACTAATTGATAACTTGTTTCATATATTTGTAATAGAGTGAATATATTATATCTGCATATCTTGGATAATTCAGAATTAAATTTATAATAAATTTTTGTAGGATTGTCAATTCACTGACCAACATCATTAGGCAGTAGTACTTTTAGGGTACTTTACGTCACTTAATATTTTTAACACCTTTGATACTCTGTACCTTGGCTAAATAGATAAAAACCTAAATAGACTAAATAGACAAAGAACGTTCCCTTGTAACTCCGTTTTTTTTTAATGCCCATCATCCTAACCCGCAACATCCCCCTCGGAACTGTAATAACCATGACTTTGGGAAAGATGATCCCTTGTAAGACCAGGGCGATGGGTTCCAATACTGGCTCGAATTTCACTTGTCATTGTCAGAAGAAGCAGTGTCGATTATCGTAATCGCGGCGACCTTCGAACGTCGGTCCCGTGAAAGAAAAAAAAAGCACGTTCGTGTCGGACGGCACGAAGCCACTTTTCTCATGGGCGAGAACGTGTTCGACCGCTCTCGACGAATATCCGAGATGCACTTTCACCCGCGGTCATTTCCTTGTCGAGAGCGGACCGATTTTCTACGCCTTGGATCGCCCAGAGGAATTCTTCAGCCTCGCTCCTATATTCATTCTTGAGAACGCCCTTCATTCCCCCAGGCTTGCGGCCTCCACGACACGTTTTCCTTCCCCTAGATCATGAAAGAAAGAAACAAGGTCGCCTTGCGTGGAAATCTGCGAATGCACCGTAAAAGACCACCTTTTTCATTCAGTTATTTACGTTTACATTGGCAAGAACCGTTCACTTTTCGAAATCCTTTAAGTCTCTGATATGTTTTCTGCTGGGTTCTGTCGTTTCTAAAGATATACAGGGTGATTCACCAAACTCTGCCATCTAAATTACTTGTAAATTCTTTGTTATATGTATATTATATGAAACAATGTTTCGAGTAAAAGTTATGTGGTATCAAGGTTCTCGAGATATGACGGTCATCTTTAGTTTTTTTAATAGTAATGGGTATGTAAAATTGGATCATGCAGACGGAAAAACGATTGAACGTTGTATAAAAAAACTGTTAGGGTATATGGGTCCAAAAAATACATAATTACCGAGATATTCTTTAAATGATTTTCAATGTAAGCAATGCTCAAAATGTGGTCCATTACAATTATAATCAATATAAGTGCGTAGTTGATCAATAACTGCAAATGACAGATGTTCATTGGTGGCTTGGAATTAACTTCGTTTTTCAAATGTCTGCAAAGGAAGTAGTCGAGTGGCGTCATGTCCGGAGAACGGTTCTAAATGTGGTACGGATTTTACATTCACCATATCTTATCATCATGCACCGAAGATTATCACACTAGGTACTTATTCATTTTTTGGCTCATATACCCTCACTAGTTTTTTACTCAGCGTTTAACATATGAGCCGTTATTTTTGAAAGTGGTATAAGTCCATTTCTTCATACATCGAGATATTTAAGGGTTTGCGTTCGAATTAATTTAAAAATATTGGCAAACGTTAATCAATTCGGGTGATGTTTTTAACACTATAAACCTATTAAATTTTATTATGCAATAATAATTATGAAAATTGTTAAAGAAAATAAAGGATTTTTTAGCTCCAAATGGACTTATACCACTTTCAATAATAACATATTATAAGAAATAAAAACAAAAGGAAATTTAAGTCCATATTTTTATAGACATTGGCTTTACTGAAATGGATATTTTAATATAAAAAATAATAATTGAAATGAAGACATGTAAATACACGAATAATCAAGTTTATTAAGAATTAATTTCAGTTATATTAAAAAAGAAGATATAAATAAATAAGTGTAAAATGTAATTATGTTGTTAAGATAACTAAAAATTAAAAAAAAAATGTATATTTTAAACTTATTTCTCCTTTCAATTAGCATAGTGAAGTATTCATGGTAAATAGGTGGTATGTAAGGCAGTAAACTCATATCACTGTATTTCTCTCTTGTTATAGCTCTTGACGTTTTATACAGTGGCAACATAGTAACTTTGCTGAGATGTTTGGGTTTTCCTTGTTTTCCAAATAAAAAAATACGCGTATTTTATCTTTTCGTTACAGTTTCATTGTTTCAACAATTATCAATGTGTTGTTATTTTCTATTCAATAAATAGCGTGTAAATTATAACGAGTCCAACTACTGATCGAACCCTTCAACAGTTCTTAAGGCACTAGCTAATATCGGCTAAAGGGCAGTGCACACTGAAGTCGTAATAATCAATGATAATTGCAATTAGAAAGTTGTTTTAACTATGATTATTAGAAATGGACTTATTCCACTTTCACAAAAAATATTTTTGCGATAACATTTTATAGCTAAACTTTTTTGATTACTTTATCAAGAAATCGTGCTCTATTGGATGTATGATTATAAATATAAAAAGAGGATATATATATCTTACTAAAATTACCATTAACTCATTTTTTTCCAAACGTGGACTTGTACCACTTTCAAAACCACTGTAGAACCACTATCTTTTCACTTGTACGAATTTTCTTTATCTTTTTAATTATGTTGCATACAATATGATAAACCTGATCATTTTGTTTGCCTCTATAATTATAACCTACATGTCACGTTGTCCTTGATTCAAAATTACTATCAATTCAGCTGTACAAATGTTATTACTAATTATTTGGCCCCGGGATTATCACTGCGAAATTTAATAGTTCAATATTATAAATGTTTATACGTTAATTGCCAAAAACTGATCAAATCTTATTTTTCTTATCGTT